ATTTACCTCTTTTACATTTTTTTTTTATTTGGGGTAGAACCCATCTCAACCCTTCATTAAATGGGGATTAAAATAAGAGGAAATTATCATGTTGATTTTTTATATATAAACTTCTGTGTAACTTGGTATGTAACACGTTTTTTGGACAACAGTGTAATTTTTTTGTAGAATATGTGGTTAAAAAATAAGTTTTGGGTTTACGTGCAAAATATTTAATTATGATAATGAGTGGAAAAAAATTTAGTTTCCCAAAAAAAGAGTTTTTGAAGAATGATAGACAAACATGGCTTAATGAGGAAACTTGTGGCAACCTATATTGATGATAATCATAAATAGCATTATCCTATTTGTTTTGGTGCAATCTTTTTGTAATTAAATTTATAATTTGCCATGACGACTATTTTTGTTCTCTATGGAGAGCTTGAAATCTACATTTATCAATTTAATTGAGTATTTTTTTTAAAAAAAACATAATATCAAACTACTATTCATATGTTGGTATCTAATTCAATTAGAAAATATGCTGACCTTAAAAAAGCAAAAACAATTTTCTAAAGCCAACTATAGAGTTTTATGTCGGAATTTTGGAAGTGTTTTCCCTATTGGGGGTTTTGGCAGTGTTTATGAGCTGGTATAAAAGAAAAAAGGCGAAGTTTTCGGCGTTATTTTGACCGAAAATCACCCTTTGATCAAAGAACATTTGAATTTTCAAGAGGACTAGTTCTTAATTTACCTTAATCCAAGACAACTTTTTCAAAAAGTGGAAGATTGAATTTCAATTTTTCAACCATTTTCTTAGTTGTACAAATGACCTTTTGAATTTGTGTACAAGATACATTTATTGAACTGAAATCTATGTTGATTGCATCAGAATTCGAACTTAAATGGTACATATGTACTAGCATAACCCAAGGCCTTTAGTTCCGTAGTTGATGGAGCCCGTTGTGTGTCTAGCCAAGCGATTGAGGCTATGCATTCCTTTGATGAGAGTCCTGGTGATCGATGTGCAAATATTTATTTTGTGACATATGGACATGCAGGTGAGTGCTAATTATTTTGGTTATGCTTATGTCATTGCTCAGGTCATTTATGTAGTACTTTGTGTACATTAGTAGTGAACACAAAACTTGGTGTTAATTTATCAGTTCTCTAGAAAGCTCCCAAAAGCCTAAATTTTTAACGTGGATATAAACTCTCTGGTGATTCTGTCCTTGCGGGCAGTTGCAGGGCTATGATTCAAATGGACCATGCTATTTGTACACCGAAGTTGACACCCCGGTGTACAGACCCCCTCACAA